CTTGATTGAAGTTCTGAAATTAAAAGTTTAGGTACGATTTTGTAGAGAATTTCACGACGCTTTTGTTAAAAAAAGAATTTGTTCTAGGGGACCTTAGGAACAGGAGTTAAAGGAAAAATACCGAGACCAGATTCACGGTTAATTTTTCTTTTTTGTGAAGCACATTTCTAAGCATATAAGTTTCTTACTAGATGAGCTAACGTGGTCAATCAACCGTCATTTTTAGAGCGTTTTTTACTGCATCTTTTCTTCATAGAGACAAATTTACAACCACTTGTTTCACTATAGAAAAATTTATTATTCAAATCGAGTCAGGACTTCTGGCCCACCCTTTAAAGATAAGTAAAAGAAGCGTTTGGGTGTTATCTCGGCAATACAGTGTGTCATAATCACAAGCTCATCTGATATTAATGGGTCATAGTCAGAGTAAACAAGTATCTTCAGCAGTCGCTGTAATTATTACAAATGCGCCTGTTGCAAGGGGGGAAAAGCGCACTCCGCCACTCCAGCCACTCCGCGGAGTAAATCGCACTCTACACCTAACCAGACTTTTGAAGGATCGGAATAATAGCTCCGATCCCCTCGAAAATGAATAGCATGAGATACCGAAAAGGAGAAATTGGATAAAGATTCTATCTGATGGTGCTTCGGCTTCCTCACAGACATTCTTACACAGCGCATCCTCATAGCAAACGTTCTGGCACAATCATCTACGTTTTTACACGAATGGTCGATACTGTAGGCGAAGTAGGTGGATGTTTGCAGTCCGACCATGGCATGATGTCGATTATTCAAGATGTAACTCGAAGGATTACAATAAATTTAACAATGTATTCTTGGCGATTGTACCAAAAGTTGATATCGACTTCGCAACTACCGGCCGACGCCATTTGATCGCACGAGGCAGGTACGAAGAACGGTATGGCCATAAAAATGAAGTAACCTAAAGTATTTACGTCGTACTAGTAAATATAATAAATTGATTAACTTAATTTAATGTAAGATGTGGTATATGCCGATCTTTCCATCCTTCTAGATTGTGAACGTTATTTTAATTCAGCTTTTTCTCTCTCTTTTTCTCTTCCTAATAGAATATCGTTGAAAGGCGTTTTTCATTACGAAAAATTTCTTTTATGTACAATTTATTTCCAAGAGAATTTCTATTTTTTTTCAAAAAATTTTCAAAGATCAAAGTTAACAACGTAATTCTTCTTTTGAACACTAGCTGATAATGAGCAATTATCAATCAATGAAAATAGTAGTGCTAATACAAAAAATGTATTTAGTATCATGAAGTCAATCCGAAGGTATAGCGAACTTGTAAACTCTTGAATTAAAGAATTGAAGCGAAACATGGTGTTTTCAGAATGATTTCTCAAAATTTTCAGAATTTCCTTCAAGTTTAGCTTTCTGCACTTTTCTGATCCAGATTCAGCATTGATTATATTAGTTAATTGACATTTTACTGGCCTTTTATAAATTTAAACTTTTCTCTAAAATGACAATAACAAATAAAATGTTACCTGTACGGATTACATATGACATTCATTCATATACTATGTCGATTTTATTTCATTTCAATTTTTGTTATTTAATGTTTAAAATGTATACGATCATTTTGCTTTTGTTTGTCTCACATATTTCTTGTCTTCCATGGTCAAAACCAGAATATGAATTTAAATTTGAAACAATATGGTTAACAATGACCGATGGTATTCGTTTATCATGTACATTAGGCATACCAACGCCAACTAATAATAAAAAAAATGAAACATTTCCGATTCTATTAGAATATTTGCCATATCGTAAAGATGATAGTTTTTATTACACTAATTATCAAGATTATTGGTATTTTTCAAGACGAGGATACATTGTAATGTGTCAACTGATCATTGATTATTATGTGCTGTAATTAATTTTTATTGTTTTGTAGGTAGCTAAAGTTGATATTCGTGGTACCGGTGCCTCTGATGGTATTCGTGTACCCAAAGAATATTCAACAATTGAATTAGATGATTGTGAATCCGTTATTGAACAATTAAGTCAATTGTCAATATCAAATGGGAATGTTGCTATGATGGGCTTTAGTTGGAGTGCATTTAATAGTCTAATGATGGCAATTTTACGTCATCCACCAGCATTGAAAGCGATTTATGCTGCACACGGATCTGAAGATTTATATTTTAATGATATACATTACATGGATGGTGAGTGAATAAATAGAAAATTAAAATACGATTTTTCGTCGATATATTGTTGTTGTTATTTTTTTTAGGTATTCTACATGAAGATGAATATATTTTATCTGTTGATCATGAAAATGCATTACCACGTACACCTGACTATGTAATTGATGATGATTTTATTCAACAACGTTTTAATTCAAACAGTACATATCCATGGACGGATTTATATTTACAACATCAAATTGATAGTCAATTCTGGTCTCAACATTCAATTATGTATTATTACAAAAATTTAACAATACCTGTTTATTTACTAGCTGGATATTATGATAGCTATAATGGTAAGTATTTTAATTTATTATCGTTCGACTATATATTAAACTTTTGATGAAGCTGCTTCGGCATATCTATAGTGGAAATTTAGGCATGAAAGTTACAGTGGATCTACAGAGAAAGGAAGAGAATAATAATTACTGACTTTGGCCTCCCGAGTAGAGACCTGCAACCCAACCCGAATCCGATCCGAACCCGACCCGACCCTCGGGTTAAGATGCTGTCGGGTCGGGTCGGGTTCGGGTTGAATATTTGGCGACGCAATTTAAAATATAAATAATATTTTTAGCTTTGTATTACTGGTTGAAAGTTATCTCTACTGGAATTTCCAGTTGAAAGAC